TCACGTTAAATCACACAAAGGTAGTACTTCTCACTCTCTCTCTTACTTCCTATCTTATGATCATTTGTCCCACACTTACCATGCCTTTACCACCTCACTTTCCCTTGTCAAGGAACCTCAAAATTATTTGCAGGCTATTCAAGATCCTAAATGGTGCCAGGCCAAAAGAGATGAGGTTTCTGCTCTTGACGCCAACCACACTTGGACTCTTAAACCCCTTCCTCCTGGGAAGAAACCCATTGGTTGCAAATGGGTTTACAAAATCAAGCTTAATCCAGATGGTTCTGTGGAACGCTACAAGGCCCGCTTGGTCGCAAAAGGATATACACAAATTGAAGGTCTTGATTACAAGGAGACTTTTGCTCCCGTCGCTAAGATGGTCACCGTTCGTTTACTCATTGGTGTTGCCGCTGCTCAAGGTTGGCATTTGTATCAACTCGATGTCAATAATGCCTTCCTCCATGGAGACTTACTTGAAGATGTTTACATGCGACTCCCACCAGGATACGGACGAAAGGGGGAGACACTCGTATGCAAGCTTCAGAAATCCCTTAATGGACTTAAAAAGGCTTCAAGGCAGTGGTTCCTGAAGCTTTCTTCTGTGCTCAAGGCTGCAGGTTATCGACAGTCTAACGCGGACTATTCTCTGTACGTTCGATCCAAAGGTGCAAGTCTTACTGCTATTATTGAGTATGTGGATGATGTGATATTGGCCGATAATGATCTCTCATTCATTGAGAAGACAAAAGAATTTTTGGCCAGCAAGTTCAAACTCAAAGATCTAGGAAAGTTAAATTACTTTTTGGGCATTGAAGTTGCAAGGTCATCTCAAGGTATATCTTTGTCACAACGAAAATATGCCTTGGAAATATTAGAGGATACTGGTTTTCTTGGAGCTAAACTGGCTCGATTCCCTATGGATCAGAACCTGGGACTCACACAGACAGATGGTGAGTTGTTGAAGGATCCATCCACATATCGTAGACTAGTTGGTCGTCAAATTTATTTGACAATCACTCGGCCGGACCTGGTTTACTCTGTCCACATTTTAAGTCAATTTATGGACAAGCCTAGGCTACCACATTTAGATGCAGCACATCAAGTTTTGAGGCACATAAAGGGGACACCAGGACAAGGGATCATGCTCTACTCCACCAGATCCCTTCAACTGAAAGCATATTGTGACGCTGATTGGGCAAAATGCAAAGATACAAGAAAGTCAGCCTCGGGCTATTGTATCATGCTTGGAGACTCACTTATATCTTGGAAAACAAAGAAGCAAACCACAGTGGCAAGATCTACAGCGGAGGCAGAATATAGAGCCATGGCATCCACATGTTGTGAGATAACTTGGCTAAGATATGTGCTTAATGATCTACATGTTCATCATCCGAAACCTGTTACTTTGTTCTGTGATAATCAAGCTACCCTCCATATTGCATCCAACCCCGTATTCCATGAGCGGACGAAACATATCGAAATTGATTGTCATTTGGTTCGAGAAAAGATACAAGAAGGTCTTGTCAAAATTGCCCATGTCCGAACTCTACAACAACTGGCAGATTTGTTTACCAAAGCACTAAGTACCTCTCAGTTTGAAAATCTTCTTAGCAAGTTGAGTATAATTAACATATACTCCAACTTGAGGGGGAGTGTTGAAGATTGCGACAATTAGGGATGAGGCTTCGGCTCTATAGGAAAGTATCTTTGTATTAAATTAGTTTCTTGTTTCATAAGTCAACTTGTAATTACCTAGTTTAGCACTTAGCTTGTGTATATAGGTTAAGCTGTATTCCTTTTCTCAATAATTCAATACGAAAAAATTGTTTAAAACCATATTGGTTTTCTACAGAAGAAAACCTAAATATTAAGTTATTAGCAGTTGATAGAGATTCAAAATGGTACTATAAAATCAAGGGTCACAACCCCTCGAAAAGGAAGATTAATTATATCTTAATGTAACTCTATATGTCTCACTTGCATAGAATTGAACAAGCAACTAAAAGATGATCAAATTCAAATTAAGAATTGCTAAGGAGACTCTCTAAAAAATGAGACTTTTCATGAACTCTCTACCATTTCTTATTTTTGGCACAATGTTTTATAATGTTAGCACAAGAATTGACGCTAAATTGTGAGGTGACCGATAATCCATATAGAATTTCACTTTGAGAGAGTTTCTTAACATTTCTCCCACAGGGAACTGTCAGCAGTATTATTCCCCAAATCATCATCATTATAATTCCAATTAAAACCCCTTTGCATGCATGTTGGACAACTCCACCTCATCCAAATACAAAACTTTTCTCAACTCTTCTTTTTCTACCTTCTCCAACTTCAAAGAAGATGATGAAGAGGCTTTAACTTTAACCTCCAGAAATACCTCAGCTGCCTCTAAGGCAGCACATTGTATGTCCTTTCCAGTACAAGCATTCGACTCGAAGGGTGCGGCAAGGCACTTGCCTCGTTGGGAAAGTTCAATGAAGCAGACTAACCCTTGAGAACCAAAGCTGCAAGTGGCAGCCATGTCAGGGCTAGTGAATGTGCCGAGTCACATCCACGATTTCTTGTGATTCATTGAAGAAAGCTACGCAATGAGCACCACAAGGAATCCCTCAACGGAAGAGTACTGGTATATGTATATATAAGGGTGTATCGAAAGCTTACTTGATAGATTACTGATATCAAAGTATGAAAATCTGAAAATCTAGATCTCTAATTACTTTGTAAATGAGATAGGAAACAAAAACTTCATTTCTAGAATGCTTAGATTCATTAGGAGTATTGAATCATACATTGTATAATGAAAATAATGAACTAAAAATAATGATGCAAAATAATTACTGAAAATAGAGTTCTGAAATTAATTTATAAATTTGAAAACTTACAAATGACTGGGGAATAGATGACTGAAATGAGAAGTTGATGTATGCAAAAACCTCTCTAAATGAGTTGCGGAAATTAAAATTGTTTACAAATTTTCTTCGGATACAAGAGAAACTCGGAGAAGTTTTGAAATTTAGAAAATAAAATTTGAATTAACTTGCTAACTTAGGCTTTAGAGCCTTTCTTTTATAGACTGGGTAATAAGACATGAATAATTGCCTAATTGATTGTAGGAGCACGGAGTGTCTGTGGGACCACTGGTTGGATGACTGTTGGTTCATGCGTAAATAGTGGTTTGTCTAAATGATTAATATTTTGACTATTGATCTTGCACGCGGAGTAATTATTGGTACGACAATACTGTGGATAAATAGTATCTTGTTGGTTTACTGTTTAGCTTGCATGCAGAATGATCATGTCACAACGACGACATTGTAGATGAATAATATTTTGTCGGATTAGTGTTTGAATTTCTATCCTAGATGAATAGTGGTCTCCAAAAATTAATTTTAACTTCTGGTTAGTTTACTCGTACAAATCTTGACTATCTTTACAATCTGCCCATCTGAACTTTTGCTCTTCTTTTACTTGCTCGGTTTTAACTGTAGTGGTCTGCTTTAGGGAATATATATATATATATACACACACACACACACATACACACACAAAGCTGTAAACTGCTTCTTTCAAGCTTCCAATAAGTTTTTATCCACCTTCATCACGTTTTCAACAAAAGTGTTACTTATTTTCCTAAATTTAAGTTGATTTGTTTTGTGGAGATGGTCGATAGATTTTATTGGAATGTTTTTCAATTTCCCTAGTATATTAGAAAAATATATTAAGGTACAAAATTAAGAAAGTTTCATTACATTTTCGTCTTAAGTCTCCGTTTGTATTGGGACGGATGTGCGTGGTAGCACCTTAAAAGCGGCACAAAGTCTCGGAAGATAGCTAGGGTATGCCGAATCAAGTGCAGCACTAAACGATGAGAAACAAAGAGAGGTGCAACCGGTTCAATTCGAGCCCTAAAAAACAATGTCAAAATTGAACTGGCTTTTACATATCTGTTCTAATTTGGATCAAGTTCTGATATATTATAAACTAAGAATTTTATATGTAAAATAAAGAAGAAAACTGGTCTGAACCGGCCGGTTTGGTCTGTTATTTTGGCTACCCATATTATAAGTGACGGAAGCAAGAGCTTTGGGCCTAGAAATGCTAACAACAAACCGAACCAGGCTAACACCAAGGACCATACTTCAGGACCCAGAATTACTCAAAACATATTAGGTGTAAGATTGAAAATTCTGCAGCCCAACTCTGAGTCCAATCCAAGGGACGCTAAACTAGTGGTTACAAGCCAATGGGCATATGAGAAGAGACTTGTGAAGAGAGGAATTATAATAACGATACTCTACTCTAAACTCGTATGTTTTCGAGAAGAAATTCGAACTTAGAAGCATAAACACATCTATCCTAATCATTTCAAGTATAAATGCACATGCAAAGGAGGTTGCTATATAGCTGGCATCTAGTTAATAACTGATTAAATGGATGTAGATAAGTTTTTTTACTTCCACTCCCTCAATGTTTTCATAAAAAAGGTTTGGCTCTTTATATGTAAAGAGTCATTTCTTCTTGCATACCAATTATATTGACATGTGTTCAAAAACTTTTTATTTTGTGGTTTAGATGAGATATTTCGGTATATAGTCAAAGTAGATAGTCCTATCACTACCAAATTAAGTACTAATTAGTCACATTGAACTAATAATGTAAGGTTTCAATAATGTCAGTTCCTGCAAAGAGACAAAGAGAAGAAAAACAAGGCTTATCAATTTGTGTTTAATTGACTCAAGTCCTTAACTTTATTCGTTTGTTAAGACATTCTTCAACTCAATTCCTTGGCTTCCTTGCCAAAGAATATTGAGTTGGTAATGTGAAGGTTTCACTTTATTGGATACTTGACACTTTTTGAGTTTTCTAGTTGTCATACTTTGATGTACTAAAGTTTTATGCTCCTTTAACAAAATGATAATGATTTCCATGCATCGTTTCTTTTTATTAGTCTCATTGGACCGAGGGTTTGTTGTTCCCAATTTCATGTCTCTTTTGCATCTCTTTTATAATTTTTTGACATGAGTTCTTCAACTTCACTTCACAACTAACACAATTAATTTTTCACAAAATTAATTAAAACACTATAAATAAAAGATTTACAAAAATCAACAGTGAAGTAAAATTCCGGCAACCACACCACCCTATTGCCACTGTTACTTTTCTGTCGGCTATGCTTCCTTTTCATTCTCTATCAGTAACTCCTCACCCTATTCTCTCTTTAGATCTCGCACTTTAGATCTTGCACTAGATCGTGATCTCTGCAATAACGATATATAATAGCTTGCTTCAGTTGAAATCCGAAACGACATGAGGACAAGGAGGAGAACCAAAACGATGCAAAGTGACAATTAGAAAAGAGACACAAAAGAGATATAGAATGTGGGATAACAAACCCATAGAATTGGGGACAGCAAACCCTCAGCCCAATCGTTGTTTCTGCGCAAAAAAGATAATGATTTTCACGCATTTTTCTTCTTCTGCACTACTCTCGTTGTTTATGCACATTGAATCTCAACCGATTTGCTCATTTCAAAAGCCATAACAAATGTGAGGAGTGCAGGTAACCCTCAGGCATGTTACTATTTCAAGCCTATTTCCTGCTTCACAGTGCATGTCAGACTATACTCCAAGTGATCATATTTTGATTTAGAAAAAAAAATAATTAGAAGTTATGCCAAAACACTTTGGAATGGTCCCCTTAACATCGAACCTTTCCCGGTCGATTAATTTTCGAGTTAATCAAACTAGTTCCATTGCCATTCCTGCGCCAGTGGGCCAAAGATTGCAAGCTCAATCTCCATTGCAGTTTCTCCCATTTGATCTTGACTTTTCTTCCACCCGTCGAGCTCCTTTCGGAAATCTTGTTCCACCATCATGTCAATGGTGTTCGAGTCCACCTCTTTCCAACATTCAAATCTCTTTCAGGCCCTTCCCACCACGTCTTCTCTGCTGTCAAAAGCATCATCCACTTCTCTCTGTTCCTCGACAATGAGATCCATGAACAATATCTGCATTTCTTCGGGGATACTTTTGTTACAAGGGAAGTTTAATTTGGAAAGTACTTCTCTGAGAAGCCCTTCAAGAGTTTCTTCTCTGCTGCTATCCGATGTTTCTGACTCGTCATTCTCACATTCATCATCATTACCATCTTCTTCTTCTAGCATTCTTTTTTCGAGTTCAATTGGATCTAACCCCGCCAATTGCTCAAATCTACGACGCTTCAGCAGAAGGTGGTGCTTTGTTCCTGTAAATTCAATGCAGGAAAGACCAAAATTAGTAACTTGTTCGAAAATTCAAAATTGCTACAAGAGTTGTCCATACACTCAAAAATAACCTGTTACTTTGATATCACATTTAGGAACCAACATTTGTTACTCAGATAGGAAAACAAAATAAAGGCACATACACAAACATATACATGCCTCCAAAATTTATTAATGTGCAGTTCTAATTTTGAAACTTTGAACTGATCCTCTCCTACTCTCGTGTCCTATATACGGATCTTTATTTAACTGTAATAACACCGAGGAAAAACAGAGAACGGGGGAAACAACTCTCGTGCCTCCAACAGGTTCCATAACAAAACAGGAAGAAGAAATGCAGAAAATAGGTGAATAATTGCCACATTTTGAAGCAGGGCAATCAATGAGCCTATAAATGAACAAAAAGGGTTTGATCAAAACTGAAAACCGCTAAAAACTTTAAAAACACAATCACAAATTTGAAATGAATAACTAGGGTTGATGAACCAACACATGCACATTGACATCAGAAAACAGAACTGTGGGTCACATATGCAGTTATGATCACTGCAAAATTACGTATGTAACATCGATACAAAGACAACAAGCGTTTTGACCGACACTTCTGAACCGAAACACCGATAAAAACATGGAGAAGCAATCTGGCTATGGATCCCACAAAGATAAGCATGGTGTCATGACAAAAACAATCTTTGCTTTGAACTTTCATGTCCTACGTAACAAACAGTAACAAGCTCATTGAAAAGGACCACACAACCAGCAAACAAGGGTATAAAGATTCAAAAAAAGTTTAGTACAGCATGGGAATTATTACATGCTCAGCACATTGGCATAGCTGCACTCCAAATCAAAACCGTCTTCATCGTCATGTCCCTCATCATCGTCTTGGAACGGAGGGTCCAATAGAGAAACCGGACTGCAATGTTCCTTCTCTTCCTCCTCCTCCACTTCTGCTTGGAATTTCTGCAACCCCTCCTCCTATTAACACATCAAAACCCTAATCAAAACACTAATCACATGTAAGTAAGCAATATAATAATAGTTTACACTAAATCCCAGATCCATAATTGCATTGCTGATTGACTTTTCTTGTTAAATTTTAGAGAATGTGATTGCGCAAAGTGTGTAATTTTAAATACGTCGGGACTCCATGATGGGATCCAACACAAGAAAGCAAGGGCAAATTTGTCTTTGCAATCATACAAATTGACACATATGGCCCTCCAATCTGCCTAAATTTCCCACCCCAAGTCTATACAAATTGATCATGTTGCCGACAATTCTGTAAGCTCCCCAGTGAGTTAACTCGGACCGTCGTTAAGCATACCGAGTTACTAACTCGGTGCTTAAATTATTTAGTCATGGTAATAAAAAATAAAAAAAAGTTGGCAAGGAATTTGTATTATATGAATGAAATATATTTGCAGTATTACATTACGATTCTTTTACTATTTTGTTGAAGAAAGAACTGGCGGAGGGTAGATGGTAATGGGCATTCCAGACTACCGTTCACTCCGTTGTCATCCCTACGCGTTATGGATATAAGCTTAAGTAATCTAAGATAAAAATAGCAGACTTAAAAAAACAAAAAAGAAATCACCATTTCTTGCCCACTACTTTTCTAATCATGCAATTCTTTAAACAACTCAAAAAAATTAGATGGCCTAACCTGCTTGCCGACTTGACATATATTTTAAGTGCAAATTAAGGTGACGGCCAATATAGTTGAGTTTGACATTTCCATATAGGGTGATGTTATCCACAAATTCCTTTTTACTTTCTACATACTTCTTGTTAATTTGTGTCATTTAATTATTTTTAATTTATTCGATCCAACGGTCGAAAATTAAGAAGAATGTGTGGACAACGGAAGATATAGCACCACCCTTCTGTATATGGGCTAATATTTGACCATTTTATTCCTATCAATCTTTCTATTAATTTCTTCCTTCTCTTTTTTTTTTTCCTTTTCCTTTTTCTTTGCCCCCTATTTTCTCCCAAACCTGCATCAAGGTCATATTTGCTTTGCTGAAAAGGCATCCATGCTTAGTGTTTAGTAGAGAGTCTCATTGAACTTTCCCTACCGCTTTCAGAAATGCTTTAATTTTCGATTGTATTAATGTTACTAATTGCGAGAGGTTTCTCTTTCTAATATTTGGTTTATTTGCATGTAGATCTCATTACCATTTCACTGCATAAAATATGCATACTTAGGGTAGGGAGTAGAGTGTCATAATAGTTCCACTCCAAAAATTTAGGATTGTCGTGACCAACAACAATAAGTGACCCCAATCGATAATATTTACAACCTCAATCATGTGCGGATGCTTATAGGTAAGATTTTAATACACACACACACACATACATATACATACATATATATATATATATATATATTTAAACCCTTAGATCAAACCCATTTTAACGGTTAGAATTGCATTGGTCTATTAACTATTTGGAAATAAGAAGGGAAATTATACATTTATACCTCTGCAATAATGAAAATTATTATGATAATATTTTGATTTCTCTCTCTTCTCATCTCTTTAAATTCGAAAATAAAAACGGTTTATTCCTACCCAATCCTTTTGATGGTGTGGAGAAGAAGGAAGAAATAGGAAGAGAGTCCAAATGACATGGGATTCAACTTGTATGATTCATGGAGTTCTTGTAGTCACATATCTTATTTTCTTTTCTAATCTTTTGACATTTGAGGATAAATAAAAGATCAAATTTTGGATTACAAACACCAAAAAAAAAAATATATATATATATATATATATATTTTAAAACACGTTTTGGAATTAGGATGAAATGGAGGAATTACAGGCACCACCACCATGAACCCGAACAACACCAAAATGCTCCAAATCAAACTAATGACCTTCACCTGTATTTAGATCAACAATGTTCATACTTTGTTTTTTTCAAAGGAAGCCGCTGCTTGCAAACCAGTTGGTTGAAGTAAATTCTATATACTTTGGTGTTGAATGTATAAGATTTAATGGTGTTAAATCTTTTAAGATATACGGAGGAGAGAGAAACACTAATAATAATTTTTCACAATTAATGAATTTAATTTTCTTTCATATTACAAATTCAATTAGTAAATAAACCAATACAATCTTAACCATTAAAATAGCTTTAATCTAAAGGCTCAAAAGAAGTGTAAAAATATTTGTAAAAAAATGTGTCCCTTGATTCTACCCCTATATATATAAGACACTAACTGTAGAATTGAAACATATCAAAAGACCTTAATGTCATATTATAATCCTAACTGGTAAGCATCAACACTATAAAAATGAATAAATATATATTGCAAAAACCATATCTATAAGTTTTCAAAGATCGTAATAACTCAAAACAGTGTAGAAGGTCTGCATCAAGGTGAGTATCAACAAAATCAGAGCAGCAAACGCAGATATGAAGGACCATGGAGTATCAAAGTAAGTGTACTTGAAGCTAGCCCATTGAACATGCCAACTATTCCCATAATAGTGATGCACATCATTGAACAACTTAGCCAAGTAACATCTATCCATATCAAAAGCCACATCCTTCCCCAAATTATTAATAAATCGAGCAACTTCCCCATCGTTCCCAAAGCAATTCTCGATGATGTTACGGTCACACAAATACTCAACATCCTTGTATGTGTTCACAAGGCAATCGAGCAATGTGGCGTAGGTGGTGATGTGCTTAGAACTTGACTTGTGGCATTGCTCATAGGCCACACAATTCAGTAAGAACGAGCTCATGAAATCATCGATTGTTATAGGCGGCATTTCGACGACACCGCGCTTGAATTTGATCACCAAGAAGCTTTCGTCCTCGCCCGGATTGAGCTTGATTCCGGCACGGCGAAGCTTCGAGACACAGTGGATGGTATGTGTTGGGATGGTGTTGCTGCTACGTGGCTCTTCATGGCCTGGGGGTATAACACTTGAGCGTAACAAGTCAAGCAAATGCATACCTGCAAACAAGGTATTAAACATCGACGTTAACGTATAGAGGGGCAAAAAATTCATGTACCGAAGAAAATCTGAGTAAAAATATGAGAAAAATATTGTATATTATATTAGTGTTTTTTCCAAAAAAAACAAAAAAATTATTGGGTTTATTTAAGAGCAACTTCATCCCTACAAATTGCTTTGCCTATTATGTGATTGAATCCCCCAACACCTATTGGGTGGGCTCATCTCCCACGAACCAAGCAGTGGGCTCATCCCCCAACACCTATTGCTTGAGGTTCATACCCATGTCACCCCCTGACCCAAACTCTAGTCTATTTTTCCGCCTTCATTACACCCAAATTCATGAGAATCATACGTTAAATAAAATTATTGAACTCACCGCTATGGAGGCAAGAAAATAGAGTAGGGTTTGGGTCATGGGCGCGGCCCGAAATCGAACAAAGAGAGGCACTTGAAAGAAATTCTTTTTTTTTTTTGACTAACCAAGCTAATTTTTCAACTTGATACATAAATCCCTGATTTTTTTTTTTTCCCTTTACCTGTGTATTAATCACTAATCTAATACTTATTCCTGTTAACAGAATACATGCAAGAAGGTTTTAGACATAAGAGATGATCCTAAGAGGACAAAGAAGAGAGGAGGGGCATTTCGGGCATGTGCAACCCCGGGCCTATGTTCCCTCGGCCCCTATTAAGATAGGTTAAGTGTTCGGTCACCTTCAAAGGAACAAAACAAAACAGAGAAATTAGTTTTAGAATATCATTGAAGTTTGAGAGAGCATGCCTGTAAGATTGTGGTGCTTTTGAATGACATGATCAGGCCTCTGCATATGGTTGTTGAAGAATTCCAAAGCAAGCAACGACAATGACTTCCCATTTTCTCTATGTTCTTCCATGGTTGTGAGCTCAAACAAGGTCAGAAGAACAAAGTAGGGTATTTGATTTTCAAGCCTAAGAAAATCCCTAGCCAAAAATGGGATTATCCAAACCATGTTGACAAGAGGATCGTCAAGCTCGAACCGAACCAAAAGCCCGAATTTTCGAAACAATTCGATTATAAAGCAACTATCAAGAACCAACATTTCCAAAAATTCATCCGTCCTAAGATTTATGCTTTCTGAGTAACACTCTCTAGCCTTTTGTTCCAATGGCTCCAAGGCCTTCAAGTAGTCCTCTAAAGTCAACCCTTTGGGCTCTGTCCTTGCAAGCAAAGAGCCCAAGTATTTCCACTTGTGCTCTTCGATCATCTTGAGACGTGGCTCTCCTCTGTGGTAAGGACCGATTGAGACGATGTGGGGGTTGTAGGACTTACCGTTTATCTCGACAAGGCTCTGTGGGACTCTGAAGATGCAGCAAGAGGGTTTTCCTGCTGCATTGCATAGGAGTCTTGGGGGTTCTGAGATCATCTGGTACATGGTGCGCAACCGATCCTGGTTCGCTTCCCAGATGCTGATTGGATGGCTGTTGTTGTTGGGTTGTTGCTGTTGTTGCGGTGGATTGGGCCCCATCTGAGTAGTTGGCTTGGAGGTGATGATGGCTGTGGTGATGAATTGTGGTGGTGAAATTTGAAGTTGCTTTATTTCTTCTGGGATGGGGATTATTCAAGGGAAGATAATTTGGTTTGATTGACAGCAAGACAATGACTAGGGAAAATTGATAATATAATTAAATGCAACTATAAACGTCAAAACTTGCTTAATCCAACCACCAATTCATTGGTTGACTGCTCTAATTTTGCGATATTACGCTTAATATCATGATTTAGTATTATTCTTCTTCATTTGTAAGTAAAAAATCTTAAATTCGATTCTTGTCAAAGGAGAATTTGGAATCTAACAAATCAACTTGAGACCATCTCTAATAGTTGGGCTAAAAGCTAAATATTTTAGCCCGGAAAATTTAGTTTTTTGCCCAGAAATAGTTTTTCTGCTCCAACCGTTCTAGACTAAAATTTTAGCCCGGGATTATTAAAGAATGAACTTAAACTATTTTTTTGTTAGATTAATTTTTTTTTAAAAAAAATAAATATATAAACTATCGTAAATTAATTTTATAAACATTTTAATCTAAAAATTATTTAAATTCCGATAAATATTGGGTGGAGTCCACTCCAATTTCTGGGCTAAATTTTAGGGGGAATTTGGCATTGGTTTAGCATTTAGCATTTAGCATTTAGCCCAAATTTTTCCCTTGGGTTGGAGTGGGTTTGGGGAGAAATTTTGGAGAGTAATTTGGTTTTTAGCCTACCATTGAAGTTGGTCTGACAATCCTGCTCTATTAAGATCCTCAATTTGAGGATCCCTAAGGACCAAATGCGTATTAATCATAAAATTATATTAATTTAAATTGAAATGATGGGAATACCCCTATTTTACTGTTTAATTTTTTGTCTTTTTCTTACTTGCTGTTGAACAGTAAAAATATAAAAAATAAAAAAATAGAATCCATACAAATTGAATCAAACTACAAGGCAAAGCAAAAATGTAATTCAAACCAAAAAGATGCGGATGAGCTTTACTTACAAATCAACATCCATAGATAAATAAATGAATAAATAAAGTATGCATTTCTTCCTAAAAAGGGGGAAGAAACGTGCAAAAAACAGGTTCTCCCTAATTTCTGCAACAAAAAGAAACGTGGAGTCAGTAAGGGGGATCAAGAGAAAGTGGCAGAAGGTCATGGCCTCCATCTCCCCCCACGTAACAAACTCTAGAGCCTTCCTAGGATGCCTATAAATAGGCATCAGCTGCAGTAAAAGAGGGAGAGAGAAAGAAGAGGGGATTATCTGCAGAAAGATTGATAAACTTTGAGAGAAAATACCAAAAGCAACGAAGTGCTGGCAGAAAAGTGAACAAGAAGTTCAACCATTAGTGCTTTCGAATCAAGATCCAAAAGAAGAACATTCATCATCAAGTATGAAACAAAGTCCTGTTAAAATATTTTTCTCTTGTTGGATGTTCTGTTGCAGACAAAAATGAGGAAATATATATATATATATATATAAGAGAGACAGATAATGACAAAAGGAGAGCAACACAAAAAAAAAATGGCAGCCAAGACCACCAGGCAATTGTCTCTTTGCTCGGCATTCCCCTTCACCAAACAGATGAAGGTGGAGACTTTGAACAACCCGACTCCCTGCCGACAGCAGCAGAAATAAAAGCAAAAATCCCATGAATTTCTTCGGGGTGGTCTAAACCACCCCGTGAAGTTCCAATCAAATTCAGGAGATCCGTATTCGCCATCCACGCCAAGAAAGAAGGGAACCATCAGTGTCACGGCAAGCAATGGATTCAATAAAGAAAGAGCAAGTTTTGTTCAACCCCAAATATTGACAGTAACCTGTCCTTCACCAACGGTGCAGAAGCTTGTTTGCAAAAATAGAACAACATAATCCAAGAGGATGGCATGTTGCTGGTGTTCTATACCTGAAAGGTCACGCAAGAAGAGGAGGAAGAAGAGAAGTTTTTTTTTTTTTTAGATAACATGAAAGCCATTCACATGGCCATCATGTTGGATAAAAGAGACACAGGAACAAAGGAAAAGTGCATATGTTGACAAATGAACAAAGGAAAAGAAGCCAAAATTTTTGATAAGGACAAAAAGTCCTCAATGCAAATTTGATAAAGACAAAGAAGGAGGGAGACGTCGTTCATGTGGCTATCATTTTGATCAAACATTGTGTCAAAATTGTGACCAAAGGTACTGAAACAAAACTGACAGAGGCTACAAGACAAAAGGAAAGAAAGAAAATTTGCCAATCTCTAAATATCCAAAAGATATTTACTTCTCTGCCACGTGAAGTTGGATTTAAAAGAGTTCAAGGTGTCCCTAGTTCACGGAGAAGGAAATGTTGGAATTTAATATAGCCGCAAACATAGATTACGAACATGCATGTAATACTGTGATTTGAGTTCTGACCTTGTGAAACCATTGATCGCAGGGAAAGAAAAGGAAATCTTCTACTCAAGGAGGACCTGATGTTCTTTCTAGAATAGGGCTAGATTTTCTGATATACGAACTTGTTCCTCTTGAGCAGGGACTTATCCTTTTATAGACGTGTAACCACAACCGTTTCCACCTATCACAGAAACTGCTTGGCAAAACTGCACGCCCATTTACATTCCAACGTGGGATATCCACTCACCAACATGTTTAACCCTTAATGTCCTACTTTAAAGGAAAGTAGTTTATTCACCTATTAACTCTAACTGTTCTCAATTTCCACTAAACTCAAAAACCCGAATGAAATAAGTTTAGAGTCCAATAAGGTTCCAACATTCTCCCACTTGGACCTAAACTTATCGTCTTTGTTTTGAGCAATGTTTCTACTGACAACAGTTCCTTAGTGATCACATGAGTTAATAAATAAATAAACACATCCTCACACATCCACCATGAATGACTCAAGTCATAGAACTTTAGACAAGTTTGCGCAAAATGGTGCAGCCACTCTGAAATCACTATAACATTCAATTATTCACATATGATGCTTAAACATGTTAGCTATAAGAGAGCTTTACTGTACGCTCCCACTATTTTTCCCATTACCTTAACGTTGCCTTAGTTAGCAATAATCCAACTTCAACTTTCTACATGCTGAAAAGTAGAATCTAATCGCCACCTGAAAACCTTTTAAAACAATCGAGCTTCATTACAGAAATATCACATATATGATTATAGCTTTTCAGCCAAGTCTCATTAATGATTACTAGCTCAAATCAAAAGCAGTACATGAAATGAATTTAGAATTCATCTATTGCAATAAACAACTACAAAGCAAATAAGACAAGACTAAGTTTTACTCCCACATAGTCACATAATCAAAAGACTCCAGTACCCCCATTTTTGCAACGTGCTGCTTGAACACTGCAACTGGTAATGGTTTTGTGAGGGGATTTGCTATCATCGAACCCGTGTCAATATGCTCAATTACCACCAAACCACTTTTGACATCCTCTCTAACAGATCGATATTTGATGTCCATCAGTCTATTTGCAGATGACTGCTTGTTGTTTTTAGAGATGAATAAAACAGCTTTGTTATCGCAATGTATAACAATTGGTCTTGAAATACTTTCCATGATTCCCATTAGACTAACCAAATCCTTGATCCACAATGCTTTCTGTTTGGTTTCAAAAATAACAATGTATTCAGCTTGCATGGTCGATGTCGCAAGTGTCTTCTGTTTTGCACTTCTCCACGAGATTGCTCCTCCAGCCATGAAGAACAAATAATCACTTGTGGACCTTCTATCATCTATGCAGCCTGCAAAATCTGAATCAAATTACCCTACCACCTCTAGTTTTTCACTCTTTCCATACACAAGCATGTGTGATTTTGTTCTTTGCAAATATCTCATTACCTTCTTAGCTGCCACCCAATGTTGTTCTCCAGGATTTGATTGATACCTTCCAAGTACACTAATTGAGTAAGCTAAGTCAGGTCTAGTACAAACTTGAGCATACATCAAGCTCCCCACCAATGAAGCATAGGGTTTGTTCAACATGATTTTCCTTTCCAATTCATTCCTAGGACATTGCTCCTTATTCAATTTATCACCTTTGTCATTGGGACTTCTCCTCCTGAACATCCTTCCATGTTGAAACGTTTTAATATTTTCTCAATGTATGACCTTTGCGAAATCCCCAACAAGTTTCTTGACCTGTCTCTTTTAATCTCTATGCCGAGAACAAAAGAGGCCTCCCCCAAGTCTTTCATATAAAAGGTGTTTGACAACAACGACTTGGTTTCAAGCAATAGGTTCAAATCATTGCTTGCAAGAAGTATATCGTCAACATAAAGTATAAGGAAGATAAACTTGGAACCAATGCTTTTAAAATAAATGCAATCATCAACCTTATTCTCAATGAAGCCAATATGAGTTACCTTTTCATCAAATTTCATAAACCACTGCCTCGATGCTTGCTTTAGACCATATATAGACTTGCTCAATCTGCAAACTAGGTGTTTTTGGCCCTCTTCAATGAAACCAGGAGGTTGGTTCATATAGATTTCCTCTTCCAAGTCACCATTTAGAAACGCCGTTTTGACGTCCATTTGGTGAAGTTCCAAGTCAAAATGTGCCACAAGTGTTAAGATTATCCGCAGGGAATCCTTGGATGACACAGGAGAAAATGTTTCGTTATAGTCTACCCCTTCCCTTTAAGTGAAGCCTTTAGCCACCAATCTCGCTTTGAACCTTTCAACCTTCCCTTTCGAATCTCTCTTAGTTTTGTACACCCATTTGCATCCAATGGGTGTCATAGTTTTTGTCTTCTCTACGAGAGTCCACACCTGATTAGAATGCATGGACCCTATCTCCTCTTCCATTGCTCGCTGCCATGATAAAAAGTTTTCACTTTTAATTGCATGTATGTAAGTTACTAGATCAGTCATTATACCTTCATCATGCTCAACTTCACAAAAAGTAAGTGATATAATCTTCTGGAATCGCCGATCTGCGAATTCTTTGTGAGGCTCTTCTTGGTGCTTCCAAGGTAATTTGCAACTCATCAGCATCATGTTCAACTATTGCTCCATCTTGTTGTGGTTCATTTATTTGATGACCTTCTGCAGCATTATTTTCATGTGATGGTTGCGAGAAACTAGTTTGAAAAACTATAGTTACTCCAAGGCTTTGACTCCCTTCATCATTATTGCTCAACACATTAGTGGGATTCCCAAGATCCTGAAAAACAAAATTGCTAGCATTTTCATCAACATTCATTTCTTCCTTGATGAACTTTGCATTGTTAGTCTCGAAAACCCTAGTCTGCAAGTGTGAAGCATAAAATTTGTATCCTTTAGACTTCTCTGGAAAACCAATAAAGTGACAACTCACTGTCCTTGAATCAAGTTTCTTTTCTTGCGGATTATACATTCTTGCTTCTGCCCTACAACCCCATACATGTAGGTGATTGATGCTAGGTTTCCTCGAAGTCCAAAGTTCAAAAGGTGTCTTACTCACTGATTTGCTAGGAACACTATTTATTATATAGTTTGCCATCTTTAATGCTTCTCCCCAAAGAAACTAAGGTAGAACTGACCTGCTCATCATGCTTCTTGTCATCTCTATCAATGTCCTATTCCTCCTCTCCGCCACACCGTTTTGATCAGGCGTCCCAGGTGTGGTGTACTGAGCTTGGATGCCACACTCTTCTAGATACATAGCCAACGGTCCCTTTTGTTGCCCAGCCTCAATGAACCTGCCAAAGTATTCTCCTCCCCTATCTGATCTCAAAACCTTAATTGTAGTGTTTAATAGGTTCTCTACTTCTATTTTAAAAATTTTAAAACAATTTGGGAGTTGTGATTTTTCTAAAATTAGATAGACACTTCCATACCTTGAAAAATCATCAATAAAAGTCACAAAATAAATATTTCCACAGATTGTTTTAATTGGAAAAGGTCCACAAACATCCGAATGAATTATTTCTAACAGTTTTTGACTTCTTGTTACGTCCTTTTTCTTGGTTTTAGTTAACTTGCCCTTGTAACAATCCACACACTCATGCAAGTCATTAAAATCCAAGGCTGGCAAAATATTTTCATGCACCAAACGCTGCAGTCTTTGCTTTGAAATATGACCTAACCTTCTATGCCAAAGCATGGAAGAAAGATCATTTGATAAAGGCCTTTTCATTCGAACAGAAGAGTCTAAAGTTTAACAACTCAAATCATTCATGACAACACAATCTAATTTCCATAAATCATTGTCTAAAAGACAAATGCCCAGCAATTGACTCAAATTGTTTTTCATAAAGATCCTTATGCTTTCATCATCACCAACGAAAGCAAAACCATCTTTTACAAGTCTTGAAGCAGAGATTAAAGACCTAGTTAAAGTAGGAACATAAAGTAATCTGAAAGTTCTAAAATAAAGCTTGACGACAACTTGAGCTTGAGGTTGCCTATTGCTTCCACAGCCACTGTATTCCCATTGCCCACATGCACTTCAAAGACTTCATTACTTGTTGACATTTTTCTTGAAAATCCCTGCAAGGAATTGGTAATATGCACCGAACAACCAGTGTCAAACCACCAAGTATTTAGAGGGGCTTCAACAAGTAAAGTTTGAAAACAAACAAAAACATTGAAAACCTTTGTACCTTTTCCTTTCTTCACTGCCCATTTTTTACGTTTCTCGCAGTCCCTTTTCAAGTGTCCATATTGTTTGCAAAAATAGCATATCACATTCTCCAAATTTGGCCTAAGGTTTTGAGGTCCTCTAGAGGAAGAAGCAACATTGGCAGTAGTAGTGGAGGTATTAAAAGGCTTAGTCTGCTTACCAGCATTCACCATAGGATTCCCACTTGCATTGTAGTCAACAAGGTTCACCACCACACTCTTTGCACGATTCAACCTACTCTCCTCTGTGCACAGATAGAAATCATCTCATCGAGACTCCATTCTCCTTTTGAGTATTGTACGACACCTTAAGCTGTTCAAATGACTCAGGAAGGGATGAGAGAGCTATGTGAACAACAAAGGAATCATCAATTGGCACCTCCAGATCCTTGAGCTTGGCGGCACCTCCACCATTTTTAGTATATGCTCCCAGACACTCGTTTTGCCATCAAACTTCTGAGAAGTCAGTGTGGTCATCAGGTTCGCCATCTCTCTTTTCTTGGACATCTTGAATTTTTCTCCAACAGCCTCAAGGAAAGCCTTAGCTTTGTCACATGACGGTATGCCACCTCTCACAGCCTCACTGATGGACCTTTTCATGACCATGAAAGCCATTCGGTTTAACTTCTCCCATTTCTCAGACTTCAATCTTTGCTCTACAGTGCTGTTCGTTGTCACAGCAGGTGGTTCATCCTCCCTCAGTGCAAGGTCATAGTCCATCAAGCCAAGCACGATCTCTACATCATGTCTCCACTTTTTGTAATTCCCTCCATTAAGTGGTTCAATGGAGGAAAAACTCAGTGCATTCGCATTCACTGTCAAACCAAATAAAAGTTAAACAACATTGTAACCAATGTTACAACAATCACAGTATATGCAACACCTTTGGGCAAGTTACATTACTGCAGGTCTTTTTTTTTTTTTTTTTATTTTATTTTATTTTATTTTATTTTATTTTATACACATAAAACCATATGCATCCTGATTATATAGCCCTTTTAACAAATACTTAAGTTACAACACATATTTCAAATCTTTGGATAAGAAAATAGTTGGCTCAAACATTCATTAAAAACCTATGTACTGATTCATAAATCCAACCAGTTAACCCTCTTCTCTTTGGAGTAGTACGTTATCATGTCATGACTTATAAAACACAACCATGCCACCTTCCTTATAAACAAAATTTCTTAAAAAACTTCACTTTGGTAAAGCTTTACAAACAGTTGTTGCAAATGGTTTTATGAGCATGTATCCTTCAATGATGTTAAGGTTGGAACTTAAATCATCTTAGCGCAAAATCCATTCCTATACTTGTGATACTCAAGAAACCAAATCATTAGTAAAACACGAAAAGATGAATAAATCAATTAATCAAACTTCCTTATACACATCAAAGAATCTATGAAGAGCTATTATACGCTCTGATACCAAATGTTGGAATTTAATATAGCCGCAAACATAGATTACGAACATGCATGTAATACTGTGATTTGAGTTCTGACCTTGTGAAGCCATTGATTGCAGGGAAAGAAAAGGAAATCTTCTACTCAAGGAGGACCTGATGTTCTTTCTAGAATAGGGCTAGATTTTTTTATATACGAACTTGTTCCTCTTGAGCAGGGACTTATCCTTTTATAGACGTGTAACCACAACCGTTTCAACCTATCACAGAAACTGCTTGGCAAAACTGCACGCCCATTTACATTCCAACGTGGGATATCCACTCACCAACATGTTTAACCCTTAATGTCCTACTTTAAAGGAAAGTAGTTTATTCACCTATTAACTCTAACTGTTCTCAATTTCCACTAAACTCAAAAACCCGAATGAGATAAGTTTAGAGTCCAATAAGGTTCCAACAGGAAAAACTTGCTATCAAAATTCCCAAAGTAATTGGGAAGCTCACTCACATGGTAACCTTTACATTAAACACCCAAAGACTCATTCAAGTATGGCAGACATGAAGAGTACGTGCGTTGCTACAAATTTCAGGGGGTAATTCTCACCTTTGGAGCCATGAATCAACACTTGTTTTCAAAGTACTGCAAATAGTTTGTTCAACAAATCGAAGAGATATTGTTGCCAAGAACTCCTGCACGAAAGAATTGATGAGTTCATCGCAGTTAGAGTTTCATTCCACTCCAAATACATAAGCAAACCCGGAACGTAAAGAAAACGAAAACGGGTAACCTGCTTGAATTTTCCCCCTCTTCATTTTGAGCCTTGGACCCACAAAGGAAGCACATGAGCAAAAGAACGATGCAGCAGAAAAGATGAAAGTTTTTGTGACCTGTGCAAAAAGGGGATTTGCGATTTGAGGGGGAAATGGTGGTAAATTGAAGTAATTTGAACAAAGTATGAGCTCCAACAAACCTTACCCATTCTCACTCTGAAATCAACGGATACCCAATCGAAATATAAGTTTGAAATATAACGAAATCCACGGGAGCCCACCAGTTTTAGAGCCGAGAGAAGGGGGGGTCTCTGAAGCTATCTCTCGCGGGCGGGCCCCGCGGGGGGATGGTGGGGTTGTGAATGCTAATGTAATCTGCATCTCACGTGGGAATTGGCTCACACCATCTAAATTATGGGCTTTATTTAGAATTTAAGTATGGAAACAAACTGACAAAGGTCCCAGAAAAGCAAGTAAAAAATGGGCAACCCATATGACTAGTCACTTTTCTTACTTGCTGCAGAAAAACTCTCCAAACCAAATGGGAAAGCTCACGTGTAGATCAATGAAGCTATGGGATTTTATATGGTCACAAGGGACAAAATTTCTTTATGGCAATCTAAATTGTTCATTTCGAATTGGATCCCATTATTCTCAAACCATTAAGGAGTCCGACACGGCAATATATACAATATCAATTTGGGCCTTATAAAATATAACTTGCCAAAATAAATGGGCAGGAGCCCAATAGCGTGATGGAGGCACATCAAGTCCAAGCAAAAAAAAGGAAAATATGAAGACGTTGCCAACATTAAACTTGTGGATATAAATTATTCCAAGTACCGTAGACGCGAACCATTTCAAGGCACCAAAGCTCCAATAGCCCAAAGTTCTCGCCTGCATGAGCTAAAACTGCACAAGGCACTAAAGCTCCAATGGTTTAAAGTCCTCCCCCGCATGAGCTAAAACTACATAAGGCATCAAATGCTCCAATGGCTTAAAGTCCTCGCCCACAAGAGCTAAAACTGCACAAGGCATTAAAAGCTCCAATGGCTTAAAATCCTAGCCCACAAGAGCTAAAATTGCACATGGCATTAAATGCTCTAATGGCTTAAAGTCCTCGCCCGCATGAGCTAAAACTGCATAAGGCATCAAATGCTCCAAACAAGTACCAAATACCAAGAAACTACGAGTGACTTGATCCCTCAACGAGGGTACGTAAGCAATCTAGGGCTCTGCCTAAATGCAGTCACAAAATCAAATAAACATCAAAATCCCCAAGTTACAACTTATTCATATTAGAATCAAAGGGTATTCCTTTCCCAAAAAATGGTTGTAATTAATAGGCGCGTAGCCTAGAATGGGTCGAACTCAAATTAATAAAACCCTTTTCAGAAAAAATGAACGAGGGTGAAATTGTGTCAAGTGAATTATTTGTTTACATATTATATACAATTTTTGCTCAACACTTGCAGAGTGAAATGACGAAAATAGGCATGGTATATGTGTTGATTTTCTCCGTTTATGCACTGTCGTTGCCTCTTCTCTCACCCATCGCTTCGTCCCGCTTTATCTCTTCAGTTGCTCTTGATCACCGCAAAAACCTCAAACCAACAAATCCATTTCCAGAATTACTCTCACAATCAACGATTCTCTCACACTCACTGCTTCATTGTCAACAAATGCCCACCGCCGCCTTACTATAAACCCTTCTTCGCTGTCCATCGGAAAACCCAAGAAGAAATTTTGATCATTGACCGACACCTGGACTGCAACATCGTCTTGGTTCTGCAAAGTCCACCTCCAAATCCTTTCTGACCCTTTTTCCCAAAAGCTCTCTCACCGATTTGTGATTAGGTAAGATATTGGGGTTTTAGGGGGGTGTATTCAATTGGGAATTTGAGAGATTTTAATGGATTTTTATGGAGTCTAATTGATTTGTAGAGATTCCATCTAAAATTTTGATTCAATTCCCTCAAAATCTCATGGGAAGAGGTGAGATTTGTAGACGCTTAAAATACACTACAAAATCTCTCCAATTCCCTCTAATTCCTCAACTTTTTCAAATTCTTTAAAATCAAATTCTAATTGAATACACCTGGAATGTTATAAAACTCTTTAAAATTCTAATTGAATACACCCAGATTTTTAAGGATTTTAATAAACTATCTTAGAATCCTGATTGAATACACATTGAATTTTAGAGAATCACTTAAAATCCCGATTAAATACCCCTAGGTTCATTAAAAGAATTAAAATCCCTCAAAATCCTAATTGAATAAACCCCCCTTAATTTGGCATTTCATTCAAGTATTCTTTGCTTCAAATTAGAAAACAAACTCAAGCCCTCTAACACTTAAAAAATTTAAAAAAAAAACTTCCGGTATTGTTTACTTTAACGAAAAATCACATTTTTACACTAAAAAGTCAATCGTGATACTATTCATTTTACTCTTTATTTTGTCTTTATCGTTAAAACTTAAAATTTTGAAACCCTCATTCAAGTGTTCTTTGCTTCAAATTAGAAAACAAACTCAAGCCCTCAAACCCTTTAAAAAAAAAAAAGAGAACATTAACACTGTAACGAAAAATCACATTTTTACACTAAAACGTCAATCCTAGTACTATTTATTTTACTCTTTATTTTGTCTTGATCGTTAAAATTCAAAGTTTTCAAGCAAACTAAAAGTTTTTCGTTAAAATTCCCTAAGGAAAAAAAAAAAAGCTTCATTCGTATGCATTATATATGCACCTTCACTTCACTTGGTTTTCTTATACGTCTTGTTGTTGCGAGATAAATTTAACACACATCCATACTAACACCTCCCGTTTTCAAAATTTGTAGAAACCAGCTGTGAACCGTTGCAGGAAAAATTCAGAAAAGAAAACACCTCTACATACTGAAGATTATGTCTAACTTTAGCATACTTGAAGCCAATACGCTATGTCATCAGCTACCTCTAATTTGGTAAACCGTTAATTCTATCTTAAAATTAGAAATTATGAATCCTTATAATTGAAATGCCAATGATCTGAATTATTACAGTTCTGTAAGATTTATTGAATACTTTTTTCTAACTGTCTCTCGCTGCAGAATCACCGCCACCAACAGCTCTGGTCGCGCAGTTCGTCGTTGTCCAGTATTCCTCCGAAATTCCACTCTCTCTCTTTCCCCTCTCCGACTCAGTGCGTCTCTATTCTTCCATGTACACCCATATCTATATCCCAAACGACTGTTTATATATATATCTATTTGTTAGAGAAGGCTTTTGCCTTTTGGGTTCAATTTTATCTACGCTCTGCATTGGATTTGATGTCTTCTCAGTCCTACTTTTTTTATTCAATAATGGAGCTTGCATTATCGCATGAGAAATTGGCAAATGAAAGCTGCTTCACTTGCACAGTGTAAAACATTCATTGTTATTGGATGATGTCTTCTAATATAAGATGATTAGGTTTAGGTGATTATATTATTTTTGTACCGGTAACATCGATTGGTTCGTGTTATGAATTAACAATCTTACAATACTATGTTCATCCTCGAATTTACAACTAACAGGTTGCTGAGAAGAGCAAAGATGTGCAGTTAACAGATTTTGTTGAAACCGTGTTTTTATTGGCTGAGCGGGTCAGTCTAGATATCTTCCTTTATTTTTCCTCTGTTGGAAAGGTTCTACAGGGACACATGCGGCATGATTTTTGATGATCTGCTTTTACCTTTGTAGTTGGAAGACATCAAGAAAATATCTGAATATGTTGCTCAACTAAGGACACTTCGCAAAGGACACGGTAGGCACCCATAATTCAATTTCGTTGTCATCTTTATTCTACGTCAAATGTTCATCTTTTGAAAATATCATTACTTTATTTGATTTCATTTTCCGTTTCTTTAAAACTAGGTGCTGCTCAACAGGGATGTTGTTGCTACGTAATGATGAGTTTGTCAGTTGTTGAAAGTGGTGTTATGTTGTTCGGTGCACTGATTGTAGCTGTGTAGATGTTTTATATTAGTATTTCAGATGAGGAAAATACATGAGGGACAAATTTTAGTCAAATTAGTTGTTTGCATTAGGATTTGAGAAACTCAAGTAAATTGTATATAGCAGGGAAGAAATCTGCACTTTTGGCTATACATAGGCTCCCAATTTCTGGGCAAAGGAAAGCAGAAAGAGAGCACCAATGGTGGTGACGATGGAGAATCCCTTCTTTGTGGTGGAAATCGATGGACCATGTACAGCATTCAGCCCAGTTTATAAGAGGAGGGGTCAAAATGCAGAACGAATGACATGGAGATTTGTTTAATTTTATTAGGTTTTGTACTAAGGTAAAACTCACTCCCCATTTCGCATAGTTTTAAATGTTGATTAGTATATATGTGTAAATATGATTGTAAGTATGGTTGTATACATGTAGTAATAGAATTGTAAACATTGTTGTAATTACGTGGAACTAGAGTTGTAAACCTGCAGCATCGCACGGGCTTTTTTGCTCGTTCAAACTGAATTTGAAACTTGGAATCAATTTCATGTTAGAGTTGGCCCGTACGATAGAAACTAGGAAAACTTGTTTGCTCCTGCATTATGCATGCAGAAAATCATAGTAAAAGCTTTTTTAAAACTTGCAGGAAGCAGTTTACGGCTATATATCTCTCCCCTTCCTTCCGTCAAGAGACATCTTGTGGTGCTCTTTCGGTTAAAAAAAAAAAAAAAAAAAAACCTTATAGTATAATTAATCCACAACACCACCATTCATAAGCAACTGATGTATTTAGCATGGTTATGCATAGGTAAGTTAGCCCATTTTATTCGGTAATAACTAGGTGATAGTGCTTAATTAGTTAATACTTCCTCAAACACAAAATATCTCTTTCAAGTGGTCATGCCTTATTTTTGGTCGATTCAAACTTTTATACTTGGATTTGATAGTTTAGTGTTACTTTTGTTCGTAATAATAAAAATGTTTCAGATTCGAATTCTCCAGACGATTAACAACAAAAATAAAAAAAAACACACACACACACACACACAAGAAGGGTGATACATGATGATTCTAATATCACATTAATTGAAGCATCCAACCTCAATATATATAAAGATTTTGACCAAAAGAAGAAAACCTAAATATTAAGCTATTAGCAGTTGATAGAGATTCAAAATGGTACTATAAAATCAAGGGTCACAAACCCCACGAAAGAGGAAAATTAATTATATCTTAATGTAACTCTATATGTCTCACTTGCATAGAATTGAACGAGCAACTACAAGATGATCATATTCAAGTTAAGAACTGCCAGAAACAGTATTTAAAAAATAAAAAATAATAAATAAATAAATAATAATAATAATAATAATGCACTCCACAAGGAAGAGAAATGTTAAGGGAACTCTTTAAAAAATGAGACTCTTTATGGACTCTCTACCATCTCATTTTTTTGCACAATGTTTTATAACGTTAGCACAAGAATTGACGTTAAACTGTGAGGTGGCCAAGAATCCATATAGAGTCTCATTTTGAGAAAGTCTCTTAACATTTCTCCCACAGGGAACCGTCAGCAGTATTATTCCCCAAATCATCATCATTGTAAATTCCAATTAAAACCCTTTTGCATGCATGTTGGACAACCCTTCCTCATCCAAATACAAAACTTTTCTCAACTCTTCTTTTTCTACCTTCTCCAACTTCAAAGAAGAAGATGAAGAGGCTTTAACTTTAGCCTCCAGAAATACCTCAGATGCTTCTAAGGCAGCACATTGTACGTCCTTTCCAGTACAAGCATTCGACTCGAAGTGTGCGGCAAGGCACTTGCATCGTTGGGAAAGTTCAATGAAGCAGACTAACCCTTGAGAACCAAAGCTGCAAGTAGCAGCCATGTCAGGGCTAGTGAAAGCTACGCACTGAGCACCACAAGGAATCCCTCAACGGAAGAGGACTGGTATATTTGTATGTAAGGGTGTATCGAAAGCTTACTTGATACATTACTGATAGCAAAGTATGAAAATCTGAAAATCTAGATCTCTAATTACTTTGTAAATGAGATAGGAAACAAAAACTTCATTTCTAGAATGTATTGAATCATACATTGTATAATGAAAATAATGAACTAACAATAATGATGCAAAATAATTACTGAAAATAGAGTTCTGAAATTACTTTATAAATTTGAAAACTTACAAATGACTTGGGAATAGACGATTGAAATGAGAAGTTGATGTACGCAAACACCTCTCTAAATGAGTTGCGGAAATTAAAATTTTTTACAAATTTTCTCTAGATACAAGAGAAACTCTTGAGAAGTTTTGCAATTTAGAAAATAAAATTTGAATTAACTTGCTAACAAGTGTAGGAGCACGGAGTCTTTCTTTTATAGACTGGAATAAGGCATGAATGATTGCCTAATTAAGTGTGGGAGCACGAAGTGTCTGTGGGACCACTGGCTGGATGACTGTTTGTTTATGCGTAAATAGTGGTTTGTCTGAATGATTAATATTTTGACTATTGATATTGCACGATGAGTAAACAATACTATGGATAAATAATATCTTGTTGGTTTACTGTTGAGCTTGCATGCGGAATGATCATGGGCACAACGGCGTCACTGTAGATGAATAATATTTTGTCGGATTAGTGTTTGCATTTCTATCCTGGATGAATAGTGTTCTTAAAAAATTAATTTTAACTTCTGGTTAGTTTACTCGTACCGATCTTGACTATCTTTACAATCTGCCCATCTGAACTTGCTCTTCTTTTACTTGCTCAGTTTTAACTGTAGTGGTCTGCTTCTGGGAACACACACACACACACAAAAAGCCGTAAACTGCTTCTTTCAAGTTTCCAATAAGTTTTTATCTGCCTTCATCGCGTTTTCAACAAAGGTAAATTTAAGTTGATTTGTTTTGTGGAGATGGTCAGTAGATTTTATTGGAATGCTTTTCAATATCCCTAGTTTATTAGAAAAATATATAAAGGTACAAAATTAAGAAAGTTTTATTGCATTTTCGTCTTAAGTGTCCGTTGGTATTGGGACGGTGGTGCGTGGTAGCACTTTAAAACGGCACAAGGTCTCGGAAGATAGCTCGCGTATGCCGAATCAAGTGCAGCACTAAACGATGAGAAACAAAGAGAGGTGCAACAGGTTCAATGTCAAAATTGAACCGGCTTTTACATGTCTGGTCTAATTTGGATCAAGTTTTGATATTTACAAAGTAAGAATTTTATATGTAAGATAACGAAGAAAACTGGTCTGAACCGGCCGGTTTGGTCTGTTATTTTGGCTACCCATATCTTTAGTGACGGAAGAAAGAGCTTTGGGCCTTGAAATGCTAACAACAAACCTCACCAGGAATGACCATACTTCAGGAACCAGAAGTACTTACAAAAATTAGGTGTAAGATTGAAAATTCTGCAGCCCAACTCTGAGTCCAAACCAAAGGACTCTAAACTAGTGGTTACAAGCCTATGGGCATATAAGAAGAGACTTGTGAAAAGAGGATTTATAATAATGATACTCTACTCTAAATTCGTATGTTTTCAAGAAGAAATTCGAACTTGGATGCATAAACACATCTATTTTAATCATTTCAAGTATAAATGCGCATGCAAAGGAGGTTGCTATGTAGCTAGCATCTAGTTAATAATTAATTAAACAAGTGTAGCTGAGTTTTTCTACTTTTACTCCCTTGATGTTTTTTATAGAAAAGGTTTGGCTCTTTATATGTAAGGAGTCATTTCTTCTTGCATACCAATTATATTGACATGTGTTCCAAAACTTTTTATTTTGTGGTTTAGATGAAATATTTCGGTATATATATCAAATTGTCATTAACTACGAAGGAGCAATAACTTCTTATATGTATGAAGTCGAACAGTATCCGTTTAATAATACGATTGTTCAGTAGCTAATGATCTTGGTCAATAATATAGTAAAGTAGATAGTCCTATCACTACCAAATTGAGTACTAATTAGTCACATTGAACTAATAATGTAAGGTTTCAATAATGCCAGATGCTGCAAAGAGACAAAGAGAAGAAAAGCAAAGCTTATCAATTTGTGTTTAAATAACTCAAGTCCTTAACTTTATTCGTTTGTTAAGACATTCTTCAACTCAATTCCTTGGCATCCTTCCCAAAGAATACTGGGTTGGTAATGTGTAGGTTTCACTTTATTGGATCCTTGACACTTTCTGAGTTTCTGGTTGTCATACTTTGATGTACTAAAGTTTTATGCTTCTTTAACAAAAGGATAATGATTTCCATGCATTGTTTCCTTTTAGACATTAGTCTCATGGAGCTGAGGGTTTGCTATTCTCAATTTCATGTCTTTTTTGTGTCTCTTTTCTAGTATTTTAGCACGTGTCCTTCAATTTAACTCCACAACTAACACAATTAATTTTTCATAAAACTACTTAAAACACTATAAATAAAAGATTTACAGAAATTAACAGTGAAATAAAATTCCGGCAACCACACCACCCATCGCCACCGTTACTTTTCTGCCGGCTATGCTTCCTTTTCATTCTCTATCAGTCACTCCTCACCCTTTTCTCTCGTTAGATCTCACACTAGATCGTGATCTCTGCAAGAAGTATATATAATCACTTGCTACAGTTGGAATCCGAAATGACACAAGGACAAGGAGGAGAACTAAAACGATGCAAAGTGACAATTAGAAAAGAGACACAAGAGAGACATAGAATTGGGGAAAACAAACCCTCTGCCCTCTCGTTGTTTCTGCACAAAAAAAGTAATGATTTCCACGCATCTTTTCTTCTTCTACGCTACTCTCGTTGTTTATGCGCATTGATTCTCAACCGATTTGCTCATTTCAAAAGCCATAACAAATATGAGTGAGTGCAGGTCGAGAAAAGAAGAGCGAAAAGCACAAACAAAACAGATAAAATTTAGGACATAATAAAGATATTTAAAAAGGCCAAGAATTGTACATCTCATGTCTAAATACGCGCGGATACATACATACACCGGTCCCCCCCACCAACTACATACATGATCCATATACATTGATAATACCATGTCAGCCACCCAACCAGCCACCCAACCCCAAGTCCCTCTAATTACTTCCTCAGGCATGTTACTATTTCAAGCCTATTTCCTGCTTCACAGTGCATGTCAGACTATACTCCAAGTGATCATATTTTGATTTAGAAACAAAAAAATTTAAAAAGTCATGCCAAAACTCTTTGGAATGGTCCCCATTACATCGAACCTTTCCCGGTCGATTAATTTTCGAGTTAATCAAACTAGTTCCATTGCCATTTCCTGCACCAGTAGGCCAAAGATTGCAAGCTCAATCTCCATTGCAGTTTCTCCCATTTGATCTTGACTTTTCTTCCACCCGTCGAGCTCCTTCCGGAAATCTTGTTCCACCATCATGTCAATGGTGTTCGACTCCACCTCTTTCCAAGATTCAAATCTCTTGCAGACCCTTCTCACCACGTCTTCTCTGCTGTCAAAAGCATCATCCACTTCTCTCTGTTCCTCGACAATGAGATCCATGAACAATATCTGCATGTCTTCGGGGATACTTTTGTTACAAGGGAAGTTTAATTTGGAAAGTACTTCTCTGAGAAGCCCATCAAGAGTTTCTTCCCTGCTGCTATCCAATGTTTCTGACTCGTCATCGTCACATTCATCATCATCATCTTCTTCTTCTAGCATCCTTTTTTCGAGTTCAATTGGATCTAACCCCGCCAATTGCTCAAATCTACGAAGCTTCAGCAGAAGGTGGTGCTTTGTTCCTGTAAATTCAATGCAGGAAAGACCAAAATTAGTAACTTGTTCGAAAATTCAAAATTGCTACAAGGCTTGTCCATACACTAAAAAATGACCTGTTACTTTGATATCACATTTAGGAACCAACATTTGTTACTCAGATGGGAAAACAAAATAAAGCCACATACATAAACATATACATGCCTCCAAAATTTATTAATGTGCAGTTCTAATTTTGAAACTTTGAACTGATCCTCTCCTACTCTCGTGTCCTATATACGGATCTTTATTTAACTGTAATAACACTGAGGAAAAACAGAGAACAGGGGAAACAACTCTCGTGCCTTCAACAGGTTCCATAACAAAACAGGAAGAAGAAATGCAGAAAATAGGTGAATAATTGCCATATTTTGAAGCAGGGCAATCAATGAGCCTATAAATGAACAAAAAGGGTTTGATCAAAACCGAAAACCGCTAAAAACTTTCAAAACACAATCCCAAATTTGAAATGAACAACTAGGGTTGATGAACCAACACATGCACATTGACATCAGAAAACAAAACTGTGGGTCACATACGCAGTTATGATCACTGCAAAATTACGTATGTAACATCGACAACAAGCGTTTTGACCGACACTTCTGAACCGAAACACAGATAAGAACATGGAGAAGCAATCTGGCTATGGATCCCACAAAGATAAGCATGGTGTCATGATAAAAACAATCTTTGTATTGAACTTTCATGTCCTACGTAACAAACAGTAACAAGCTCATTGAAAGGGACCGCACAACCAGCAAACAAGGGTATAAAGATTAAAACAAAGTTTAGTACAGCATGGGAATTATTACATACTCTGCACATTGGCATAGCTGCACTCCAAGTCAAAACCGTCTTCATCGTCATGTCCCTCGTCATCTTCTTGGAACGGAGGGTCCAATACAGAAACCGGACTGCATTGTTCCTTCTCTTCCTCCTCCTCCACTTCTGCTTGGAATTTCTGCAACCCCTCCTCCTATTTACACATCAAAACCCTAATCAAAACACTAATCACATGTAATTAAGCAATAAAGTAATAATTTAGATTAAATCCCAGATCCATGATTCCATTGCTGATTGACTTTTCTTGTTAAATTTTAGAAGAATGTGACTGATCAACAACACAAAGTGTGTAATTTTTTACATATGTCAGGACTCCATGATGGGATCCAACACAAGACAACAAGGGTAAATTTGTCTTTTCAATCGAATATTATTACTGAACAGTGTCTTACAACAAAGAGATTAACGATGCAGCAAATACATACAAAAAGTATACACATGTTGATCACACAAATTGACACATATGGCCCTCCAATCTGCCTAAATTTCCCACCCCAAATCTATTAAATTGATCATGCTACCGACAATTCTGTAACCGTCCCAGTGAGTTAACTCGGACCGTCGTTAAGCAGACCGAGTTACCAACTCGGTGCTTAAATTATATAATCATGGTAATAAAAAATAAAAAAAAGTTGGCAAAGCTAAGGAAAAAGACAAACCTCTTGTTTGTGGCGACTAGGGGACGCCGCCGGCGACGTGAATTCCGGCGTGCAGTGGCCGGATGGCGAGGGGGTTGGTTGGAGGACGAAACGAAAAGGGCTTTCGCAAAAAGCATTAATCTTGTCGCAATTACAAGGGCAATCTGTATCGGCCGATTCCTCCTCGGACTGGCTGCAGCTGCTTGAAGTGGCTTCGTTGGTTTCGGACCACACCGCGCTGCTGGGCCTCCCAATGCTTATGAGGGAAGCACTTTTGTCCTCAACTTCCAAACAAGACTCAACCGTTTCCTCCAACTGATCGGAAGAAATCTTTCTTCGCCCCACTGACGAATCCCACTGGAGAATGTCCTTCACTGAGACCTGAACCCCATCGCCACCGTTGATTTCCCGCTTTCGGGTCCGATTCCGATTCGTTAACCTCTTAAAAAGCGACCCGAGTAGCCCGAACCCGTGGTTTTTGCTCTGGGTTTTCGGTTTTGAGTTCACCGACTGCTTCTGAATCCTCATCGCGGCTTCGACGAGGAGAGCGGCGGTTCTGTTCGGGATATGGAGGAAGATAGCGTTAGGACTTTTGCATGGGCTTTTGGCCGCCGGTGACGAGAAATCAAAGAGCGGGGATTTTCTGAGGTCCGGCGAGTCTTGGAGGGAGAAAAAGCAGGCGTTTTTGCAAAGATTGCCGGGAAAGTTTGAAACTTGGGAGATGGGTCTGCGTTTTTTGACCTGTAAGTGTTGTTGGCTTTTCGTGGAAGCACTTTTCAGCTGGCAGCGTTTATCGGCAATGTAGTTGTTGAGCAGGAACGGCTCCTGGACTTCTCTCAGCAGCTCGTGTAAGTGCTTCTGCGCCGCCATGTTCATCGAAAAAAGCTTGCAGCTTTCAAAAGGGATTTTTGTAGGAAAAAAGCCGATTAATGTAAATATTAATTTAGCGAAAACAGATTTTGGATGATAATTTTCAGCAGCATAAAAAAGTTGAAGAGGTTTCAACTTTCAAAAGTGGGAGGTTTTGAAGGGTGAGAAAATGGATGCTAATATAGGAGAGAGAGATAGAGGGAGAGAGAGAGGGAGGAAGGAATGAGGAGAGTTCATGATTCAAATCTGAACGGGGCAGGGGGTAGAAATCGAGGTTGAGAATCTGAGATGGTGATAATCGAATTATTATAAAATAAAAGGGAGAAAGAAATATACGTAAAATTAAAAATAAAAATAGAATGGTCACAGCAACTGGTATAAAGACTAGCAGTATTCTTTAGTGAAAAGTCACAAATTCTATTATACTTATGTGAAAGAGGCTTTTTTAAAAGTAAGATTTTATCTAGATTCTCTAATACTTATTTTAATTTTAAAGTAAAACTTAAATTTTAAATTTTAATTTATCTTAACATACTTGGGGTAAATACGAGTTTTAACTCAAAATTTATTTCTAGGGCCAAATTTAGCACAGAATTCCATTTGGATTAATGGGGTTGACCTATTATATATATATATATATATATTTTTTTTTTAGGTCAACATTTATAAATTCATTGAATTCAATGGCTAAAATCTAATATGATCAAATTCAACGATAAAAAAAAATGAAATGGTCCAAATTTAAATCCAATGATTAAAGTGATTAAAAAAATTGTTTAATGTGTTTTACGAGTTTCATTGTGGCAGTTTAGTCATTTTTCAATATTTATCGGAATCTAAATATTTTTAAGTTAAAATATTCATAAAATTAAATTAAAATAGTCTACGTAATTTTTTTTTTAAAGTACTTTGAGAAAAACATTATCCTAAATTCATTCTTTAATAATCTCAGGCTAAAAATTTAACCCATAAGGATTGAAGGTTTTTGTGTTAAAATCTAAATTTTATGGGCTTAAAAATTTTAGATTTTAATATTGGATTAGAAACTATTTTTGGATTAAAATTTAAAATTTTAGTTTAGGAACTTAAATTTTGGGTTAACATCTCATATTTAACACAATATTTTATAATATTAGCACAAAAATTAACGTTAAGGTAAAATGCAGAAAGTCCATAAGTATTCCACTTTAAAAAAAATCTCTTTCGCATTTCTCATTCGACCAAGATGTATTATTTTGAGTTTAGTCTTATTATTGGATATCTAATTAAGGACTGGCTCCTTTTTTGACCTAGCCATACTAGTATATATCTCTTTTACAGTTGAATATCGTTATATAGAAAATTAAAATTAAATAAGGAAAAACATGGTCGCAAATTGGTTATATAGAAAATTAAAATTCAATAAGAAAAAACATGGTCGCAAATTGGTGGCAGCAGCAGAGGAGTAGGGAGAGTGTCGTACGAGTAGGCTATCCTAGAGAGACCGAGTAGGGATAGGGGAATAGGATCCGGTTTGGAGGGTGAGTCTATGAAAGAGGCAAATTGTCTGCATTCTTGTTTGGGTATCATTCATATCTCTTTTTATTTATGCATTTACAGTTAAATCACATTGATATTTTATATTCTTATTATTTTTTATCTTAACATCTTTATTAAAAAATTAATATAAAATATTAACGTGGTTTAATCGTAACCGCATAAAATAAAAGAAGATTAGAAAGATATCAAAATAGAAGAGACAATCTACCTCCATCTTTGTACGCATCTCACTCACCAAACCAACAGATTTATGTGTCTGTGAAAATTAATTTAAAAATAACCAATTTGTTTACAGAGTGTGTCCAAAATCCAAAATATACAAATCGTAAGATTACATGTGTCCTCTTTATTTTGGCACTTACTGGTATTTTATAGGGTTAATTTTACATTTACCTCCAAATTTTTTTTGGTTTCCATTTTAGTTCTACAAACTTTTTCTTTGTACTAAGTTAGTCCTTAAAACTATTAAAAAGTGTTTAATAAGGACTGAAAATGACTTTCGTTATAAAAGTTGACCTAATATTATTGTTACATGACTACTTTTGAAGAGCATTTTAGCAATACAACAACTTTGACCAACCTTTTTATGCTTAAAGTACTCATTTATGTTTAAAAATAGGCAAAACCAATTCAGTTGGAAGCTAAAATTAGCACTAAAATCTACTAGACTGAAAAACTAGTTTTCATCCTTTGAACATCGATGATAGTCAACTTGTTGAAATAGTATGAAGAGTTTCCTTCTGACATACTCGACACCGTGATCCATTCTAACTAAAACCTAAGCAAAATTGTGCGATCATTCAGTAATTTTGTTAACTTTTGAATTAACACAAGTTTAAATTTTTAGGTTACTAAATTGAGACCAAAAGGTTGAAAGACAAAGTGGAGAACCCCAATAGTTGAAGGAGCAAATATGAAATCCCTTTATATACATATATATAACAGGATCAACTGCTGATTTGATCCTAGAATTCCACCTTAGTAAAAATTAAGTTCATAAACTATTTATTCAGAAAAATCAGTCCTTAAATTATGAAAATCTACCAGTTACATCCCTACTATTAGATTTGAAGCTATTCTATTCGATTTTCTGTCAATTCAAGTCACGTGACTTGCATGTGATACACTTTAAAGGGTAAATTAATAGTTTTTTTTATAAGTAGAAGGACTTGTTTTTTTTTTTTTTCCAAATAAATGGTATATGAAGTTAACTTTGAAATGTAAATTAGACATTAGATTCACAACTGATATGAAATATTAAGGAGTTATAAGTGAGAAAATGACAATATTACTTTTTACATGTATCATATGACTTAAGTTGACAAAAAACTGCATAAACTAGCTTTAATATAATAGTGATAATTCAAAAACTAAATCGACAATTCATATTATATAATATGGATATTAATATTTATACAGGAAGAGCAAGTATGGACACAGGAATCGCGAGAAGAAGAGGAGAGGAGCCAGCTGCCTGCCTGTGCAGTGCAGTGCAGGAACCAGGTCAGGTGGTGGTTTCCGCGTACTTCTTTTCTTTCCCGAGATCCATATATTCCCTAATAATCTTCTTGCTTTCGCTTTAATTTTAACTTTTTATTTTTTTATTTTTTATTTTTTATTTTTATTTTTTTTAAGGAAAACTAGTAAAGTTTGAAAGCTTTGAGTTTTAACGATAAAGATAAAATAAAAGGTAAAATAAATAATATTATGATTGACTTTTTAGTATAAAAATGTAATTTTTCGTTAAAATAAATAATACTAAGCAATTTTCGTTAAAGTTTTTTTTTTTTTTTTTTAATATATATATATATTGGTGATAATAATATGTTTTTTAATCTGGTCAAAATCTAGCTTTCACCTTGTTACAATGTTAGCAGTTTACGAGGAGAAATATTTTACTATATTTCCCTCTATAAGATGAAAGAAATGAATGGATAGCTGGATGTGCTAGCAAAAGATGCAATGAATAAAGATATCGAGAAAGATTATGTATTGGTGCATATCAAAGGATCCACTGTGTAAAAAAAGAATCTCTTTTTCGAACTAAAAATATAAAAAAAATTAATGAAAATAATTTGAAAACTTTGAGTTTTAACGAAAATGATAAAATTGTGTTGTATAGTACCATGATGGATTTTTTTGAGTAAAAATATGGTTTTTCGTTAAAGTAAATAGTACCGGAAGTTTTTCGTTAAAGTTCCTAAAAATATAATGATAGAGTCAGAATTTTGTGTGAGGAATGGCCTTTCCCGTATGAAAAAGAAGTTTGAACTTATAACATGAGTAATTGAAGTAATCTTTACAAAATTGAAAGACCCATTAAATTTAATAGTGAGAATCAAAAGAATTGTGCAATACAATTTAGTGGGACGTAGAGAGAAGATTAACCGCTATTTTTTTTTTAATATAGAAAGAAGAACTACAAAACATTTCTGGTTTGCATTTTTTTCAAATAGTAGATGATTAGGTTGTTTTAGAAATAATATTAAAATTTATTGTAAAACCTTCATCTACAAACTCATCGTTTTAGTAAACCAAAAAGACAAAACAACAAAATTGTTAGAATCAGAAAACGACGACGTGGTTCGAATCAAATTCTTCACGAGGAACAATTCACTTCTTTCTCGTGTCTCACAACAAGGGTTGTCGAAAAATTCGTACACCGTAGTCCGGATGGGCTTGGAACCACTTTGGTCCCTTAATAGCTCCGCCCTAGCAAACACTAGTGCCTCAATTGAATATATAGAAATCAAAGTCACAAAATTGAATTTAGTGAAAGTCTTAACCACTTGCTGGTTTTGAAATTGAACTTCCATACCTACTATTGGTACATGCAGTGTAATGCAAGGGAAAGCAGGCTGCAATTGAGGCAAGATTTGGAGTGTAGAGTAAAAGGCTGTGGGTTTATGACAACAAAATGGAAAGGCCCTGCCTTTGGCCACAGTTGTTCACTTTTAGCAGCACAGAGGTGTTTGTACTCTACTACTCCATAAATGTTGTCCCATTACACCATCCTCACTTTACAGCTGGACACGTAATATTCACATAATTATAAAATCCACCATCGATGGATGATCGGGTCCCTATGGCCCCAAATTAAATATAAGACTGGAATTCTCTATGGATTTTTTTATTTGGATTATCCGGATTCTTTAAATTTGGAGCTAGAGAGAGATCAACAAGAGAGAAGAAAATGAACATGAGAATGTGGATAGAGAAGAAGACGGAAGAACATGAACAGGAGAAGGTGAATATGAAAGAAGATGAACATAAAAAGGTGAAGGTAAATAGGAAATTAATTTCTGGCAGTTTGAATTCAATTGAACGAAAAAAGTTTAAAAGCTCTGAAGAATATGAATGGAGAGAATCTAAAGATGATCCTATTCCTAAATATACATATCATATCATATAGATTTCATGTATTTAATTATCCTCCCAAATTATGATAATGTGATGATGGAATGGACTAATCAACCACCTTAAATCAATCAGTCTTCTCTTTTAATTGTCTTTTAACGACCTAATCATCAATCACATTATGTGGTAAGAGGGTTGGTCAACAAATATTTTGTAAAACAATGTGCGATAGTAACAAGACTTAGACTCGGTAGTAAGTCCTTTTACACACAATTAAAGACTTGGCGGTGTGATAGAAATACAAGGTTGAGGATGCACAATATATGTTGCTAATTTAACGAAAAAACATCATTTTACTTGTGGCGAACAACGTATTATGCTTACTAATTATGATTAAGTTTTCATAATTAACACAACTATGCATGTTAACTGTGATCACAAAACTATTATTTAGTACTACATGCTAATA